AACATTATTTAAAGTCGAGAAATCTTGAAAAATATTTAATTAATTGGCACTTCGTTATCAATAAAAAAGTAATTCCTGATTATTTTTTATCAAACTTTAACTATTTTACTCTTTTAATTATCTAGAAAAAATTTATTCTATCTTTCACGTAATTTTTATTTAATTGGCAGTTGATGTATTTCGACTATTTTCTTGCAATTTTTAATTTAATTTCATCATCAGCAACATTTGTTGTAAATTCTGATATTTTATTAAATCGCCACAAATTAGTAATAGACTATCAATAGTAAGTTATCAAGTAAAATAAAACCTTCAATTCCTAACAGGAAAACACAACTGATCAGTTGTAGACCAACATTGGACCATCACTGTACATTCAAGTGCATTGTTGTTACACATTTAAACGTGTTAAATATGATATCACCCATTTGATTAACATTGTAGTTACTTTTAATGCGTTTCTGAGTGTGTAAAAAGTGATTACAATGTTGATCAAATGGGTGACGTCATATCTAACACGTTTAAATGTGTCACAAAAATGCATTTTAACAGTGATGGTTGACTAAGACCAGTCCAATGTTAAATCAAAAATGGCCAGTCGTGTTCTTCTACTAGGGATAAATGATTTCAAACAATACTCAGTACCCTGATAGAACAGCACAAATGGGGTTCATTCATAGTCCAACATTGGATACGACTGGTATAGTACTGAGTTAGGACTGAGCCAGTATTTAATAAGCTGGTACAGGGTGTAGTAAAAATAAGTTAAGGTTTTTACTTTATAGTTAATAATAAATAAAAGCATTAGATGTAATGTTGATTATTGATATTTTATTCTACTTTTTAAAAATCACACTGTAAATCCGAGAAAATTTAAGTGTTTAATAATAAAACACCAAAGCGTTTACAATGTTAAATGCCATAAACAAGCTGTAGTATTTTAGTAAATTGCAAGAAGTATTTAAAAGTCGTCTAAAAAATTACTATAGTTTGTGTATGGCGTTTAACATTGTAAATACTTCAAGTGTTTAGTTGTTAGACACTCGGATTTGCAGTGTAATAAGTAGATATTCATTATTTTACAGCGATTTTTACTGGTTTATTTCCAAAAAGTAAATTAAATGACTCTAAAAACCATATAATAGTCTTTCACAAAGTATTTGCCAAAAAATCCGTAAAAACCATAACTATTACTTTTCTTTGCTCGTACAAAGTAACATTCGTCTCTGAAGGACTTGAAGGAATTGGTGAGGGATGTAAGAACATACGGGTACGCATCTGTGCCTCTTGATTGACGCGTAGATTGCGTATCCGCGACACACACCTGCGTCCCTCATGTCCTCTTCGATTTTCTTTTAGCACTCAGTTCAGAAGAGCCCAGCTATCTTCTTTGCTCTGTCTATGATCACACTGCTGCAGCGAGTGGAAAAATATGGAAATTACTAGAAATCGTTTGCTTTCACTGAAAAGAAATGCATGGCCTCGAGGGTACCTTTTTTTCAATACTTTTTTATTTCAATTCTTAAACGGCAAAAGGTTCTATATATGAATGTGTTTCTTCGCACACTTTTTCAATTCATGTATGTTATCTCGACTCCAAGGTAACCGCCTACATGCCCTGAGAGCGTCTCAATAATTCAAGGTATGGATTTTGAGTTAGGAAAGACGTTTTTTTTTCTTTCCTCGTACACCATGGTGAAGGCGGCAAGACCTCAAGGGAACTCTCTAAGTTCGTCGACGTTCCTATAGATAGTAATGGATATCTTACGCGTCTTGCTTCCATGCAATTTCATTTCACATTACTCTGTACTCTCTTTTATTCAATAACATAATCCGCAATATGAGATAAAAAATATAAAGCATAATCTGTTTTATTTTTCCCTTTCTCGGTGGATATTATAATGAATAATACGTCTTTCGATTAATATATCATTAAAATCATTTGAATTAAAGGCTTTATGATAAATTTAAAAGCCTAGTGTGGCTGTTCAACATAATCCTGTATATTAATTCAAAACATTTCTGCTTTATAGGTTTATTAGTATCAACACGTGTGCTCAATGTGATTGCTACAAAATTATTCATCGGTATTATTAATAATTAAATTTTTAATTAAAATTTTCAGTGATAACAAAAGTAACAAATTAGCTCATGATTATTTCCGTTATGAATTGAATGATCATAATGAAAATTGTCTACTTTATTTACTACAGAGAATAAAATGAGGCAATTTCAATTGGAAAATCCGTTTCTTTTTTATTTGCAGAATTCAATAATCGTAAGATTAAATTTTTTAATTATTTTCATTTATAAGTCGATACTTTTTTGTTAATATAAACATGATGAAAATAATCTATTATGAAAAGCTTTTTCACTCGACTTTTATCGCTTACATAAAAAATTGTGATAAATAAAGTAAAGTAAAAAGTCGGATCTTTTTTTTCAGCATAAAATTTTTTTTTTTGAAATAAAAAAAAAAGTCCTTGAAAACCTTATTCTAAAATTGATAGTTCAGACGTGAAGCATGCTCAGCAGTATACCCGAAAATATTTATTCCCATGGTGCCTTTTTTTTTTGCTGGAAAATGTTTTATAGAAAAACTCATGATATCAAAATATCTCGGGAAGTTTGTCTATTGTTTGAATTCGAAGATATAAATTATTTTCATAACTAATGAAAATTTCAAGCTTCCTAGCCATCAAATGAAAAAGCCCTACGGATAAATTTATCCCATTCCATTCAGATATTTTTATAATTATACCCGTACGCATAAGCTGTAAATATGTGTAATTGAAGAGAAATCTTTTTTTGATTTGTTTTAATTGATTGCTATCATAAACAAGGTAAAATTCAATTTGTTGATGATGCACGCAACTTCAAGTAGTTATTAAATAAAATGCAATTATTATTTCATTTAATTTTGTCATTCATTAAAAAATTTATCAAAACATACAGTATTTTATTTTTAAACAATAAATTAATATTACAAGGATGATAAAAACTATTTTTTTAAAACTTCTAAAGCTCATTTCTAATGCATACAACATTAATAACACATTTTATATAGACTTTAAACACTGTTTTTTTTTCACCTGGGATTCTAGTGACTTGAAAGTTTACGTCTCACATAAAAATATCCTGTTTAAGTTTAATAAAAATTTTTATAGACATCAATATTTTTTCATAACGAACGAAAAAAACAGTACAATGATTAACTTCATTATTATATTATACAACAATACTAATCTTGACAAACAAAGAATAAACATTGTATAATAAATATTGTTTATTATTACCAAAGTGTTGCGCACTAAAAAAAACGATCTGAAGTGATTTAAATAAGCAATAAAAATGGCTGTGGCTTTCAATGTTTCATGTAAATTTTTACGAGAAAATTTTTCGAATGCATGTTGCCACTTTACATGCATTTAGTTATTAAAACTCGATTTAACGGATCATAATTCCAATGTACTACTCTGTAGACCTCAAACTTTATTATTTTCCATTTTTCATGTGATACATAATGACGCCAAAGGAACAAGAAAAAAGGATAAAATAATCCAAAAATAAAATTAAAAAAACATCCTGTAAAATAAATCCGTAGATCCAATGCCAAAAGTATATACGCGTCAATAATGATAGTTTTCGTTATTTTTCAGTCTGTATATCTTTTTTATATGGCGACAGATATATGGCGGAGGTGAGGAAATGGATGCTCTCACATCCACCACAATGCGACGAGTCGCGCGTCGGTATTTCCAATTTCACAGCGCATGGGTTAACGAGACCCGTGGGTTGAGAGAGAGAGAGAGAGAGTTAGGGTGGTCTGTTCTCTATTGCGTCTCGTACTCTGTCTCGTATCACCCCCTTTAAACGAGAAAACGGAGCATACTCGGGTTCCGGCACATTACCTGTGCTGATTACCGACTCAAAGTATGTCACCTAGTCGCGTTCCTCAACCGAGTATTCTCTCCTCTATATTGGGTTAATTCTCGTAATATTATCTGATAATATTCGTTAAAAATTTCCGGACAATATTCTGAGAATATCATCTAGAGGGTGATGAAAAATTATTCTTAATTTAACCCTTATCTTTATGTCATTGTCTCAAGAATATTTAATTAAATGACAAAATAGTTTATTAGACTGAATTTCATACTCCATTTTCTAAATTATTTCAGTTTTTTCTCTCCAAATTACTTTTAATCAACTCTATTTCTTATGATTCATGAAAAAGGTATTTGAAAATATTCTCAATAGGTAGAGTGTAATAAATAAATTTTTTATCTAATCAAGTTGAAATTCCTGATATTTTTTGAGAATAAAATTTTATGATGATGGTAATCACAAATGCACTGAAGATGTTTTATAAAATTTCATAGATCAAATTTTCTTTTATGGGAATTTCAGAATGTATTTTTTCCTTTAAGAATTCCATTAAATACATCAGTAGTAAATCACATATGTATCAAGTAATAGTATTCCAGAGTAAGAAATGCATTTGTGCTTTTATCAAAATTCCAAATGAAAAAATATTTATTTTGGGAATATTAACCAAGTATGCATCTAATTTATTAGCAATTCAATAACTTTATCCTATTCTACAAATTACATATTTTCATTCTTATAATTCTAGCATTAATTTACATCAACATCATTATTCCAATCTCTAAAACTCATGCTATTATGATCACAAATTATCTCTATTGCTCATACAATTAATTCAAGCCTAAATTAACTTCATTCAATATTAAGTTGAATATTTTCGACCAACTTTGATGTAACTAAAAAATATGATCGATTTAATTTAATTGAGTAATGAATTTTATTTATTACTTATTGAATATTTTTAGTTATAAATAATAATGATAAAACAATTTGTAATAAAAATAGTGGAAAATAAGATAATTATCATAAATAGAATATGCTTTCCATATTAAATTGAATCTTAAATTCCCATCATACCATCTAACCGTCTACCTAAATTTCTAACATTTCAGAGCTGCACAGAAATGGAATCTCTCGTCAAGTCCCCACCGACGACGACGCTCTGGAGATGAAAATATTGGCACAGATGAGCACCCAATTTTTCCGAATGGTTACGCTGCACTTCTCAACAAGTCTCCGCCACCTGCACCACCGGCTTTTCTACGGAGGATTGGTATGAAAGAGCTCACTGGTGTTGGAAAGGTTAGTGGTGAATCAATTCAACATGACTAATCGATTTGTTTGACATATTTATAAGCACACCACAACTACATCATGTTTAAAACCCATAATAACATCACCACGTGTGTTATTTATGGACTTTTTTAAACTTGAAATTAAACATAGAGTAATCTAGTACGTAGTCTAGCACGCCCACTCATTACTTTTGTAATTCAACACTGAGAATATGGTGCACGTTCCACCAATGAACATCAACATGTGGGCTTCTCGACATCTCGTTACCATTACATTCAAGTAACAGTTCTACTAACTATTTTTCATGAGTTCATTATCATTTAGTGTCTCCATCCTTGCTATTTCCTTAAATAACATTACGTGGATGACTGCTACAGCTTGAGTTAAGAACACAATATGGTCGACAATAAATTTTGTAGGAAAATGAAAAAGAAAGGTCATAATAATTTTTACAAGTATTATTTTGAATAAAATGAAATCATAATTCAAACTCAAAAGTATAAAAAATGAGAGTAAACGATTAAAGGGCTTTATTTCGAGTCACAAAAAAAATAACAAGCCATCCGCAGGAGTGTATTGTTGTAAATGACATAGGAAATACTGAGGAAAAAAATCAAAAGAGGGTCGATCTGTCCGGGATAAGAACTTGAAGAAAAACGACGTTGCGATATCTCGTTAGTAAATTTTTCTGAATCCTACGTTCAACTGTGGCCGAATGTATCCCACTTGAAGCGAAGATTGCATCGATTCGTCCACTCCCGATTTCGATTCATCCAGATCCAATAAACGACTCATACCTCCAATCTCCAGAGAAAGAGAGAAAAACGACTGAGGAGAAAGCAGGATAGCTAAAGGTTACACGCGTTTTTTTTTCTTTTTCGAGTCAATATTCCAGAAGGGCGTGCTATTCTCTTGGGCTCGTGCTAGATTTTTTTTTATTTTTTATTTAGGGACAATATTATTTTAAGAATGTTTTATAGATTTTTAAGGGAATTTATTTAGTGATTTTTATTTAAAAAGAAGGAAAAAACAATTAGTGGAGTTGGTTAAGGAAGTAAAGTAGTCAACAGAGTTAGTGTTGTAGTTAAATACTTATTAATATTCTCTCAGCGTTTCATTTCCTTCAGAAGATACAACACGTGCAGAATGAATTTGCTTAGTGGGTTACAACTCTGTCGTGTGTAAATGGCAAAATTCTGTATTAATTTTCTTTGGTTCTAAGTATAAATAACAGTTGGGAGATTTTTTTTCTAAAAACAAAGGTAGTACAAATATTGATAAAGACTGGCTTTAGATTGAAAGAAATATTGGAGACATTGAAAAGTATTGACCAGAGGGTTGAATTTCCGGTCAAATTTGTTTGGTTCGATCAGCGTGATATGTTCCAATATTACCAGACCATTTCATCTCGAATAGAAGAAGATCGAATTTTCGTCATTATTTTTCTCTTCTTCTGAAACTCACGAGCACTACAGAGAAATCAAATTGCCCTAAATTTATGTTTCCCCAGACGAATGAGTTTAACGGAAATTCCAACTAAATTTCAGCCAATCAAAAAGAAATAAATAATTTTATCTGAAAAAAGTTTTTACAAAATTTTAGCTAATAATTAAAGCTATTTCCTATGATTTATGATTGACGAAAATGTTTGTTACAGTAATGTAATCGAATGTGGCATTGTTCTTCTAAATTAAGGGTGAGGGGTAACTCATTTTTACGAATGGTAATTGGGATGTTGGTGAGAGAAGTGATATAAAAGAGGTAAATTGAGTTGGGAAAATACTTCAATTGCACAATTAACTCGCCATTTTTTTTTCTTTTGTTTCAAATACTAGTGTCTATTAATTTTTCTGTCGATTTTGGATTACTGCTTGTTATGAACTACAGCTGCTGTAAATTTTAGTGTTTTATTTTAAAACATTAAAAGTGTTTTAATATGACGTCACCCATTTGATTAACATTGTCTCGATTTTGAAATGTTTTTAAGTGTTTTGAAATAAAATACTAAAATTTACAGTAAGTGAATACTAAAAAGATGATATTTTAATTTATCTTGAAAGCAATCCTGTTGCTTCTTATTTTTAAAAAGCGTTAATTACATGCTAAAATATAATTATTACTTGTGTAATCATGGAACATCACATGAAAATATGATGTTCTTTTAATATTGATTTAATTATTCTTATCAATAAACAAAATTATTCTTTTTTAAATGAATGATGATTGATTAATTAAATTTATTTAATTTTAAAGCAAGTAATTATTGTTATACTGAGAAAAATGTTAGGTAAAAATTATTTAGTTTGAGATATAAAATATCTTCTTTGGAGTAATTTTTTTCAGATTACGTGAGAAGGTTAGAAATTTAATTAATCATTCATTTCTTCATTTGTTTAGAGACTCGTTCATTTAGGATTCATCTAAAGATGAATTTACAACATTTTTTTTTTTAATATTGTACCAAAAAAAAAAAAAAAAATAATTTAGAATGAGGAACTTCACTTTCATTTTCATTACTTTCATCTTCATACCAACTTCTTTAACAGACGAATATGTAAAATTAAAAAGATATATCATGCTAAAATAAATGAACAAAAAATTTCCTTAAAACTTATTAGAAAATTAAAAATGAATATGAATATTTGAAAGAAGAAACTATTAAATCTAATTGAGCCTTATAATTCTAAAAGTGTAAATTAATCATCACATTTCCTACAAAAAATCTATTTATTTTCCACCGATTACATTCTGCAAAAAAAACGGATAACAAAGAAAAATGTCCTTTTATTATACTTCTTTCCCACCTCCTGTTTTAATGAGTTTTTTAATCTTTGATCAACAGTTTTCTTTTGTCGAGTTACTCATTAGCAAAGTAAAGATTATTTGCTCACTTTAAATACACTGAACAAAAAAAAATACTAAAACGTTTCTCTGACCATTCGCTGGAAAATTACAGCAATAAGTCGTCAGATAAAGACTATCACAAGTGAAGGAATATCACAAAAAATGACTCTTATGTGAGATTTAACACGTGAATGTGCTGACCGGTGGTTAGATGGGTAACAGCTCACTCGGCATTTGCCAAAGTTTATTGAAATGTCCGGTCTTATACGACCCCAGTCATTAGGGTCTAAGGGCAGAGGGAAGTTGGATCCCAAACTCTCAGAGCTCCCTTTCGGTCTTGGAATGCTTAATGATCTTTCACGTGATTTTCCGGCCGTCTCGTTGACCTAAAAATAATCGAGCATCATAGATAAACACATAAATTTTTATCATTCGAGTTTATCACCAGCATGGAGCTTGCATTGATTTTGATTAAATGTTTAAGTATTAAATTACTCAGTCATTAATCTTACTGTCTGTCATAGAAAAAAACTATATTTTACCTTCTTCATATTTGTAGATTGTATCAACTTTAATACACGAAGCAAACTACAGTAAAGTTCATTACTCTTTTGATCAGCAGGATGTAAAAATGTCAACAAACTCCTGTTTTTCTTTTATACATAGATAAAGAGATAATCAGTACAGAATGTGTTATAAACTTAGTGAAAAGTTTTAAAAAAAGTTTAATTCAAGGGAATTATATTCCCAGATGAACTAACGTTGCTTCACTTTAATATTTATGGAGTTTAGTTTTAATTAGTAAATATACCAGTATCCATAGGGTAAGAGTCGCAACTCAGTGGATAAATTCATTTACCAAGTAAACTTATATGCAATGAATAAAGTTTTGGATTGTTTTCGTTGATTTATTGGATACATCCCATAACGATCTAAATTTCAAGTATACTATTTGGCCACTTGTTGTCTAAGCTATAGAAACTTTTTTATTTTTCAATTATTATTGCTCTTAAAAAAAACCCTTCTGGTTTCTATCTGTACATGTATATAAATTTGCGGTCGATATTTGTGATCTCAAATGCTTTAATAAATTCCCTCAACAACTTCAGTGGATTATCGACTTTGTTGGAATTTTAATGAGTCTCGACTTTCATGCCAAATATCTTGTAAAATTATTATCACCATGCATAATGATGTCAAACTATTTTACTAAACAATGTGGCTTATTGTTTTCTCTGGTATATGATTTCATATTAATTGAATATTTGCTCGGGGTTAAATATTTTAACGTTGATAGTGAAAGTTTCTAAATAAGTTTGGAGACTTTAAAGAAATCGTTAATCACATTGAAGTTTTAATTCAATCAATAACACTTTATCATTTTTATTGAAACTACTGGAATTTTTGGATGAAAATCGAATAAATATTTAGATAAAATATTGTTATTTTAATTTATATAAATAACGTAAATTGTATCAATTGATGTATTCATTTTTTTTGTTTAAATCAACTGTTTTCTTAGAATATAACAAAAAAAGGATGCTGCATTAATTTTTAAAACTGCTTTACAAGAAAATAGATATCAGCTGAGCAGTATACGGAAAGAATATTACATTATTTTCTTTTACAGATTTAAATGAAATTTTACTGTAGGATGTAGCAATGTCGGACTTGTAATCCTTTATACTGTGGTCAATAGTGAAATCTTTCAAGGAAAAAATTTTCTATTGACCTAAGCTTGAAAATACTATAAACCACAGTAAAAAGTCCAATCTCGGGCCAATTTGAACTTGAATTTGTTCATAAGTTTTTAAATGAATTATTTTTTTTTCAATTAATAATGAATATTAAATCCACGTTCAAAATATTTTTAAGACAAATAAAAATGCATGGAAAAAAATATGTTCGGCCGTAGGACTTTTTTACTGTGGTTGATAGTATTTTCAGACTCAGGTTAATGGGAAATTTTTTTTTCTTTAATGTACAACAAACCCGAAATGGAATTTACTATGGTTCGTAGCAGAAATTCATAATGACCGAAGAATTTTTAAAATTTGTATTTTATTAAATTTACTGAACCTTTGGAGATAGTCCACTAGTATTACAAATCCATAATAATTTTTCTGTGTGTAGAAAATAAATTGACAGCAATCAGCTTATTC